TTTGTCCCCAGTTGTCCAAACAACGCCTGTTCAGATATGACAGGAATGTCTTTGTTCTAAGCTGTGGTAGGATGTTTGCCTTAGCATCACAGAGGCATTTGGAAGGAGCCCGCCTACAGACAGCCTTGGCAAATAGAAGAGGTGAATACAACAAATGCTGCTCACTAAGAAGTTGAAAGCCACACAAAGCCATGACTAGGATGAATCTACCTCCTTCTGAGATTTGCCCCAAATTGTTTTATACTTTCTGTCAATTTAACACAGAGAATAGTCTGTATAGGGGATAGTCAACACAAATTTCTGTCTCTCTTACCATGTTTTCTTTTCTTCCTCTGCCACTCCATTCTTTCTTTTCTTTCCTTCACAACTTAAATGAAACCAGGAAAGGTGCTTGGTAAGTGTTGTACTGGTTTCATTCCTTTTCATTGTAACTGTCTTAGTTAAGAGAGAAATTTAAGAAAACACATTGGGGAGGTATTTTTTATTATATTAGTTCCAGCAAACACCAATAACAGAAACAAAAGGCTCAAATCTCATTTGCCTACCCTTTTTGTTACTTTTTACTCCAAACCAGAGCAGTGGATGTAATTGCAGTGGATGTAAAAAGACTGAAATAATTCTGAAAAATGAGTAAACTTGGAGTCTCACCCCAAGCGAACGCTCAGTTTTGAAACTTTCATTTTTTTTTTGCAAGGTGTTTGAGCTTAGAATAGTGGGTCCTCAAGAGCTCATGTATGCCTGTAAATTGTGTAGAGAATATCTCAGCTATGGACATTCCAGAATGGCAGTGCCCTCAGAGTAATGGAAAGTGTTTGGAAAATGTTTGCTGTGTCTCTTTTCCTTGTGTCACTGCCCCATCTCCGCTCTCCTGCCTGTTCCATTTAGCCACAAAATCCTGTCTAATCCGGTTTACCCAACCACAGGGCTGCCCTGCAGACCCGAGGGCTTGTGAAAGCAAACAGTGGGTGTCAGACCCCACCCTCAGCTGGATGGAAAGGCAGCCAGCCATGGAGCAACCCAAGCAGACTTCTCCAGTAACAAAAGGAAAATGAATGGTATTTGCTAGTTAGCAGTGATAACTGGGTTGAAAGAAATTTTAAAGTGTATTTTCCAAGGAAGGGGTCCTTTTTCCACACACAAATGCAGTTCCTGCTTATCCTGTCAGGATGACCTGCTCGGCTCCTCTCTCAAGCTGAGTTTCAGTCCTTCCACTTGTGCCAGTGGTGAGAGTCACTGCAATGAGGTTCTCCTGAACCTGGCCAGCTCTTGGTGCATCAACTTCACTTGGGCAGTAAATAATGCAGGATGGAGTGCATGAGTCCCAAAAAGTGTGTTCATAAATCCCATTCAGAACAGTTTATTCAATTAAAACAAACAGAGTTTGGACTGTGTTGCACAAGATGTATTGAAAACCCAGCCACAGTTGTCTTGTCATCTGAATGCTCTCTTTCATGATTGTCAAGATTTTTCCATTAAAGGCATGAAATCCATGCAATGAATAGTGAAAGGTCTTTTTCTCAGAAGTTACATCCCCCACTTGTGTCTCACTTAAGACATTAGTGCAATTTAGGACATTAATCTGTGTTCAAGGCAGTAGTGCCAGGCCCTGGAGAAGAAATCCACTTGAGGAAGTGAACTAACATGATGTGATGCTCTGAAAAGAACTGTACAAATCAGGAACTGCCTCAGCCTCAGTGTTGTGCCTTTTGGTCTGACCCCTCTGCTCCAGCAGGAGCAATGCTGGACAGTCCCTGCAGGTGATGAGGCATTTGCTCCTCATTTCCCTGGCAGGGGGTATCATAGAGACAGGACAGTTAAGCTCAGCTGCAAATGTCATGGAATATCACCATGATATTTGTGTGAGGTGCTTCTAACCTGTCACTGGGAAGGTGTAGTGCTTGTTTTAACCACTTTTCTGAAGTTCTTACACCTTTGCTGTGCTTGAGCTGTTCCCATTGACACCTGTTGGAAGTGTCTGCAACACAGCCACGCACAGACCTGTTACACAGCCCTGATCTACAACACACCTCTAATTTTCCACCTTCAATCCTGATACTGCTGGGAGGGGTTAGTGGTAGTGTGACTCCTGCCAGGTGACTCACCACCTGCCTGTTGCCTGCCCAGCTCTGATAAGATCTCTGCAAGAAGGTTTGGAGCATCACTTGCTCTGATCATAGCAGCTCATGTGGGTGCTTGTCTCCACACCCCTGTCTCTGCTGACAGGCATCTGATTTGAAGCTGACAGCTCAGATCCAGCTCATGGGCTTTCCAGTGACTTTAGCAGTTATCCAAGAGCTGTATTTATGATGTAACACACTGTGTCAGGTTGAGGAGCATCAAATAGTTTGGTGGGGGTTTTTTTCATTCTCTTTCAAGGGACAACAGAAACAATGACCAGATTATTTGGGGTTTGGTTTATTTATTATTGGGTTCTGCCACTGCTCTGTGCTAAGCTTGGTCCATGAGGTCTGTGAAGTATTTATGAGATTGATTTGGTAAGGGGGGACACTGTGACAAATGGCCTTTTACCTGGCTGCTGAGGGCTCATAAGTGCTTGCCTTTCATGCAGTTGTCACTCAGACCAGGCAGGTGCTGTGTGTAAATCAAGATTGTGTCCTTGCAGAGAGTGTGTGGAGCAGCTTGGGCACAGGTCTGGTTTGCAGTAGTGCTCCTTTACATCTCTCTGGCAGAGTAAATGTGTCTCAGAGGAGGTATTGATTAATTTTTCATCTGTTTGACCTTTCCTCACTGAAAGAGTAGTGGAGAGGCACCGTGGTGTGCTCAGTTTTACCCAGCACAGTGGTGGGGCTGAGGCTGCAGCAGTGTGCTGGCAAAGTGGTGCTGTATTGACTGGGTGTTGATTTATTCCAAAGGCACTGCTTTCTGATGTGTGAGCAGGGCAGGAAGAAGTGGAGAATTGTGCTTGAGATTAATTTTCATCATTGTAGAGTTCTCTGAAAAGTGAATATATTCCCTTTCCTAGTGTTCTTCTCTCTGTTAACCTGAGCATAGGTGAAAGCATTGGCTTCCCAAGAGAACTGTATCTGCACAAGGTCATTTTTGGCTTGTCTCACAGTTTTGTGTGTGTTAAAAGGAAACAAATCCAGCCCTACTTGTGTGCCTGAAAGATGAGGGTTAAATAGGGTGAGACATAAATATGGTGGTAAATAAGATGAGGCTTTTCTCTTCAGAAAGAAGAGTCAGACTGAACCTGATAGCCTGTGGAAACTGAAATATTTGGGTTTAAATATGTGTAAAAAAGAAAGGATTTTTTGTAGATCTGGACAAGAAATGGAAAAATTACCATAGTCCTTAAAAATGCTGGGACAGAAAATTATTTTTCATGGAATTGAAAGCTTTGGATTTGATTAAAAAGGTCATTCTTTAAGGCAAAGTTCGGATTTTTTTTTTTTTACTTGAATTGATTCCATATTATTGCTAATTTATGGTCCGAACAGCCCATTATGCAATACACTTAACTGTAAGGTGATTATTGCAGCTTAGATTACTGAGAGCTCTGCTTATCTGTGTGTAATATCTGTACTTCTGCCTGGTTCAGACTTGCAGCAGGCATTTGTGGTTATTTGATAGCTGAGATCAACTCTTTATTCTTTATGATCTGATAAAAGGTACAGAAGAGAAAGGATAATGTGTAAAATAATAACATGCTCAGTGCAGCTTTTCTGTAACAAAAATTACACAGGGTACACAGTGATCCAGTTTACAGCATGAAAATGGGCTCTGCCAAAAGCCTTGGGAAAGGAAAAGAATCTGTAGGAGAAAGTGAACGTTTACCAGGATTGTATGACAAAGCTACCAACTTGCCTTGTGTAGCCATGGAATGACAGCATGAACAGCCATTTCTTCCCTTTGAACAGTGTCACTGGGGTGTAACAGTTCTGTTTAGAAGGGCAGTCCCAGGCTTCACATCATTTCTCAGAAATGTGTTGATAAAACAAGGGCCTGTGAGCTGCTTATTTCATGTCTCAGTTCAGGTTAAATACTGTGAGCCCACCAACGTGGGTAGAATCCATCCTGTGCTCTGACTGAGCATCACTCCCACAGATGTAGATGGTGCTCAGGTGGATTGGTGGTGTTTGCATTTTGTTACTCCAAAGAGGTGCCGAGATGTAAAACCAGGAGGACTTTACATCACATTTGTTTCCCAGGAAAGTGCCTCTGTGCCCCAGGCTGCTGCACCTTCAGGGGTGTTGATGTCTGAAGCACAGCAATGAAACTCTTCCCCTTAGGAATCCTCTTAGGATAGAATGAAGGGGAAGGGAAAGTGGGAGTGTGGTTCCAGAGGCTTTACAGCTCCTCCTGCACAGCACAGCAGCAGATTCTCACCTTTGGGGTGGCAGCTAGTCCCGGTTCCTACAGAGTTCCTACAAGGTCAGGAGCTGCTGCCTCACCCCAGGAATGAGTGTTTCATTCTTTCCACTTTGAGACAAAAGCAGGAAAAAAGTGTTCTGGGTTTCAAACTGGGGCAGGAGCCATTGTCCACATCATACAGCAAATTGCAATGTCCCTGCCTTCCTCTGAGTCCAGGGGAATTTATGATGTCAAGAAAGTGCAGAAAACAAGGGGCTGCTGAAAATGGGCTAATTGACTAACAGGCCAGGTAAATCAAGCTCTTTGCCTCTGATCCTTGAAGGGATTACAGAATAAACTTAGTAGAGTCATAGGATATGAGCCCACAAACCTAAGAAATGCTGGATCCTCCAGCAGAGCAGTCTGGGCACTGACAAATGTGTGGGTCAAATCAGGTGGAAGGGGTCTTTCTGTGAGCATTGGGCCTCGAAGAAGCTGCTGTTCTAGGAATTTCAGTAGCTGTCTGCATTTAGCTGGGTCAATAGGCAGCAAGGAGCTGTGCTAGTCTTGTGCTAAATTAGTTTAAAAAAAAAAAAAAAGCCTGATGTGTTGTTTAGAAAATTGTTTTTTCCTGGAAGAAGATATTCTCAGAGAGTGAAATTACCTATTTTTTGCTTTCTTTAAACCAGTTTCAGCGGCGTGAACGGAACCAAAGTGGTGCACAAGCCTGGGCAGAATCCTTTGTCAGCTGGGAATTTCCCCCAGGGTAAGTCACTCTCCTGCTCACAGAGTGTTATTTGCTCCATGTCCTGCTTTGTGCCCTGTGGTAACAGTGTAAAACCTGCAGTGCTGGGACACAGAATGTCATTGTTTTATGCCTTTTCTATCCTGATGGGCCCAGCAGGCCCAAGATACCTTTGGGTAGCAACTAAATGAGACACAGTGATTGGGGTGAGCTCTGGCAACTGGAAATGGCTGAGACTGTTTCAGATGTGATGTCTGGTGGGTGCATGGCTCCTGCCCTACATTCTGCCCTCTGAGCTGGGGCTTGCTGGAAGGAAACTCCTAGGAGTGCCTTAAAAATAAAGGAATGTCACACAAGGAAAGAGGGGGAATGCCCAAGGCTCTCCCTTCCCCTGTGCTGTGTGCCAGAGGAGTTGTCTCTGGCTCTTGCCTCTTCCTTTGTTCTGTGTCTGTGTTTTTTCTAATGGCTTTAGTGAATTTACTTCCCTCAGAGATTTTTCCTGTCAGTATGACAGTGAAGTAAGGATACTTGGATAAAACACAGGCATTCCTTCCAAAGCACTATTTCTGAGCACAAGAAAATTCAAGACAATACCCGCAAGATATTGGTGCTCTTTTAGAATACCAGCAGTTGTTGGTTGTGAGTGGCTGGCTGGGGAGCCAGGAGTTTGCAGAAAGTGGTAAAAGCCAAACCAACTGAAAGCTGATTGCTTTTAAACAAAAAATTTAAGAGCACTTCTGTGTGATTGTCTGGGGGCATTTTTTGGCTGAAAAAAAAATCACTTTACATTTGATATGCCCATTTCCTGTCCCAGTTTCTCAAACCGCTCTTAATTTTTAACAAATTCTGTGTGTATGTGTATAGGTAAAACATGACATGATAATAATGTTCATTTGAGGGTGGAGTTGATATATTTAAGATGCAATACCATTGCATATCTGGTAAACAGTGATGTAAATACCTCATAACAAAGGTTCATGAGAAGAACTGTTGGAAGCAGCTGCAGCTCCCAGGTCTGCAGAGCTCCATGTGAACAGGGGGAGCAAAGTGTGATAAGCTGAAGAAAGGGGCCTTTTGGCTTTAGCCTGACTTCTCAGGTTGGTTAGTGGCTGCTGCTCAAAGTGTCTTCCTCCTCTTGGTATTCAGTTAACATTTCATGTTAAAACTTATTTCAGTTAATGGTGAGTAATTGTAAATGGGGGAAAAAAAAAGAACTGTAGCTGTCATTGCTGAAAGACAAAAGTACAGCTAAAGCAGAAGTAAATAGTCACATACCCTAAAGACTACACACTGTGGCTCAACAAGCTCCCACAAACCCAGTCTTTTCTCATAAATGGCTTTTTCTTCCCTGACTCCTTCCTGAAAGCTTGGGTAAGTAGGAGATTATGCAGCACATCCTAAAGTTCTCAGACCTGGTTAGTCAGAAGAGAACAAGACAGGTTCCAGAAAGGAGGACAAGGTTTCCCATTATGCCAAGCATTCTGACACCACCTTCTCCTCAGAGTTCCCTCTGCAGGGAAGGGAACCTAACAGAGCATGGAATGTAGTTGCCTATCTCCTGGATGGAGGGTCAGGGTGTGGAAAAATTTATCCATGAAGCCTCTTTTTTTTCCTCTGGGTGACAGCACAGAATACCCTGATCACTGTCAATAGTGGGTCACTCCTGGAGACCTCTGTGGTCTACAAGTAAGCCATGGCTGGTGAGGGGAAGGGAAGGTGCCTTGTGATTTTGTGGTGAATCTAACCAGTGGTGACTGGTCACTCCCTATGGAGTGACAGCACTGCAAGGAAGGTCATACCACAGGTAAGGTGTCAGGACACCCAACCTGACCTCACTGGAGGCTTCTTGCTTAAGCCAGGCTATCATCAGAGTCTCAGAGGTGAGGGGGGTTCATGTTTTTTAAGGCTTTGGGCCAGACTTGTCTCAGATAGGAGAGGCCGAGTGAGACCCAAGTGACCTACTCGTTCCTCACGGAGGTTTTGGTGTGTGGGTGAAAGTTTCCCATAGACAGGGACAGCCCTGAGTGCTACTGCTCCTGTTCACTTGTACCTGGAAGAACATGTGGCTGTCTTCACAGCCACGGGGATTGGCACAGTTGCCCAGCTCTGGTCTCTCCTCTGTGGAGTGCTGAGTGTGGGACCAGGCACTGCAGTCTCGGGAACTGCAGCCAGCACCGAGTCAGAGGTGCTCGCTCAGCCCTGCGTCATGGAGGGAACATGTGGCAGCAGTTTCTCAGAACTCATTCTGGCTTAAGTGGTATCAAAGAGGAATTCTGCTTGTGGTTGTAACCTGTGCCAGGGGCTCCCAAATTTGTGTTGCTCTAAGTGCACAGGCAACAGCAACCTAAGTGTTGGGGACAGCCGTCATCAGTGCTGGAATCAAGGGCAGATCATGAGACAGCAGCTGCTGGGAAGGGGCTGTTTCATGCCCCCTTCATGTGCCTCTGGTGTAATTTGCTTCCTCCCATCATGTGCTTTTCTAATCCTTGGTGGCCCTGACGTCAGCCTGCTGGAGGTATCTGGTGCAGTTGGGACTGAGAGGGTTTGTCTTTGCACAGGATGGTTCAGTGACGGTGCCAGGAGGAACCAGTTTGACCAAACACTTCATCAGATGCTGAGAGCAATAGTTTCTTGTTGGGTGGCATGAGATATCCATGGTCCTGGGAGTTCAAAGCTTTTTAGGAAATGCTGTTGTTCATGTGATCTTTTTCCATTCTTATTTTCTCCTCTAGGCTCTACCTAGGAGGCTGTTGCCCTAGATGAGAGATCCAGTAAGATAATTCTACTCCTTTCACTGGTGATCTCTTTGCATTTGTTCTTGCTGGAGTCCCCCCAGGGCAGTGGGGTCTCAATCCCCAGCTGCCAGCTTGCATCAGCAGCAGTACTGTGCAGAATTCAGGCTCTTACTTTGTCCCTCTCTGCTATTTTCCATCCATGATGTTTTCCTTCCTTTCCTTCACACCCATTTTGGGAGCACATTTTTGAAGTCTAGCTCTAAGCCCAGCACCAGTGAAAGCAGCAGGAGGGTGCTCTGCCATGCCAAGGATTGCAGAAATGTTCTCACTGGGTGTTGGGGGTGGAGATGCTTGTTAGGCCCTGCTGCCACATTGACTCAGTGACAACTGGACCACTGGAGTCCAGGAATCTGCATGTAAAAATAAGTGTGTGATGGTTACACAAATCAGCAGGTGAAGCTTCTCAGGGTGGAAGGATTGATGTGCCATGGGGACTTCCAAGAAATCACTGAATAGTGTTTTATCAGACCCAGCACATCTGGGAGCAGGGGGTTTCAGAGCTGGATTGGAAGCTGGTAGCAGCTGCATGACTGTGACCTTGTTAAAGGTAAATCTAAATAAGAAGAAGACTTTGCCAGATAATACTGTAACATATAATTTACCCAAAGTTAAAAGACTTTTTGAGTTAAACTTGGCGAGTGTTTTATAAGAAAACACTTATTAGAATTAGGTATTCTTTAGGAAAAGTGCAAAGAGGAGTGATTTTGCCTTCAGGAAATAGTTATCTTCATATAGCTGATCATTGTTCAGTGGTGAAGACAGCATTAGGAACAAAAAAAGTGAAAGCAATGTGGAAGGGGAGGCAGAGCAGGGCACAGTTAATATAAATTAGAAATGAAGTGCAGAAAACTGGAAATGAAAAGGAAAATGTGAAATTATCCTTGGCTGCTATCTCTTCAAGGACACTAAAGAATTTAAACATTCTGCTTGAAACTGAAAAGGAATTGTGTAAGGCCTCTTTGAAATGGAAATGGTGCAATTGTCAATGAAGATGAAAATAAGTAGAAGCATTTAGTAAGTATTTCTGATCTATATTTGGATGACAGCAGAATAATACACTAGGCTCACAGGAGGATAATGAATTCATTTCTCAATTATTAGGCACCAGGAAAAAAAAGTATTATAAAAATACTAAGTAGTAATAAGCCTTTTAGAAAGTACATGTTCAGATAAGACCCCAGTGGAGGTGCTGAGAGGAGAGACAGTGCATGTGGCAGTTTTTAGCACTGGGGAAATCCAGGACACTGGCTTTTTGGCTGGGATTTCAATGTGCCAAAGGGAAAACTGGATTAGCCAAGCAGAACAGTCGTGGGCAGTTTAGAGTGAAGGACTTCTTCCCTGTCTCCCCCTCTCGCTGGGGGCTTAGGGACAGGCCCTGAGGGAGATGATCCCTTTGCTGGATTTAAGGCCTCTCATGACTCTTATAGGACAGAATGACACCTCGGCTTCTTTAGGAGCAGGTTGTTTGGAGGCATTGAATCAAATAAAAAAGAAAAGGCTCTGGATCAAAAAAGGCCCCAGAGTGCTGCTGACTTCAGAGGGAAGTGGGCTGGCTGAGATTCAAAGCCCCCATCCCCCAAAGCAATATTGATTTGGGATTCTCTGTCAGTGGGGGTGGAAGCATCCTGCATTCTTGGATATTCTGTCCACTGGGGAGTTAAGCTCCTGCCTACTTAGGAATTAATTTTGTTTGGAAATGTTCCGAATGATGATGCAGATGATGAAACAGTAATTCCCCTTCTGCTGGACAAGGAAGGGAGCACAGAGTCTTTAGAGCTTTGAGCCTCCCAGCTGAGGAAAAGGAGTGCTCACAGGTGAGCTTTTGTGCTTGCCATGAGCCTGTCCAGCTGCAGGGCTTGGATGCTCTGTAGGGAACGTGCCTGTGAGCTGAGGGAATTTTTCCACCTTTGCAAGTGCTCCAGAACAGGATTTCTAGGATTAACTAAGGGAGGGAGGTTGTTCTGTGTGCTCTCTGCACTGGAGCACTACCAGGCTTGTCTGCTCTGGGCTCAAGGCCTGGGTGAGATCTGGAAGCCCAGGCTACTCCTGCATAACAAATTGGAGCATCAAAGTGTGAGATGGTGCCCAAGGAAGCTCTTGGAAGGTACAGTAAAGATGTGCCTGAGGGACACTGAGCTCTGTGCTGCAAAGTGTGCAACGGGAGGGGAAGCCTGACCAAAGGAACAGGAGGTCTTGGGGAGGAAAAGGAGACAAGGCTGAGGGTGA